TGCTTACAGTCAATCCAATTTAATTATTTTGATTATTAAAACAACTACTTGAAATGAGCATCTGATTATTTTGGTAATCTCCTTAATAAATTCATGTAAATAATAACTAAAATGATAAAATTCAGTAGTAGTCAATTTAATTTTGCCCAAAATTAACTAATCAACTGGATGTTGTTAAGTATTAAATAAAAGGCTATTGAAAAAAGGAGAAGTTGTGACTCTTAAAGTGTTTATTTTTAAGTTTTATAGGTATGTTTTAATTTTCATTTATTTATTTATTGAAACATAATTGATTATATGTATTTGTAGGATACAGATTTGAATATCAGTACATGTGTACAAAATATGGCGATCAAATCAGGATAATTAGTATGCTCATCTTACAAAAGGCAATCAATCTTTGTGACTCTTAACTAAGTTCTCTCAACCCCCCTCCCCTTTCCTATGTGTAATAACCACAGTTCTGTTCTCTTTTTTTTTTTGGAAGTTCAATGTTTATCATGATTGTTTCTTTCTTTCTTTTTCTTTCTTTTTTTCTTTCTCTCTTTCTTGTTAGTTCCCACTTATGAGTAAGGACATGTGGTATTTCTCTTTCTGTGCCTGGCTTATTTCACTTAACAATTTTCTGTAAGATCATACAAGTCACTGCAAATGGCAGAATTTCACTCCTTTTTATGGCTGAATAGTATTCCATTGAGTATACATACCACATTTTCCTTATCCAGTCATCTGTCAATGGACATTTAGGTTGGTTCCAACTCTTGGCTATTGTAAATAGAACTGTGATAAACATGGGAATACAGGTATCCCTTTGACATGATGATTTCCATTCCTTCGGTATATATCCAGCAGTGAGATTGATGGAGGAAATAGATAAATTTCTGGACACATACAAAGTATTAAGACTAAATCAAAAAGGCACAGAAAACCTGAACAGAACAATAACAAGCAATGAGATTGAAGCAATAATCAGCAGTCCCACAAAAAAGAAAAGCCCAGTACCAGATGGATTTACTGCTGAATTCTACCAAACATTTAAAGAGGAATTAATACCAATTCTCTTCAAACTATTCCAAAAGATTGGAACAGAGGCTATTCTGCCAAACCCATTACATGAGGCCAGCATCATCTTGATATCAAAACCAGACAAAGATACAACAAAAATAGAAAACTACAGGCCAATATCTTTAATGAATATAGATGCAAAAATCCTCAACAAAATATTAGCAATCAGAATACAGCAACACATTAAAAAAATTATACACTGTGATCAAGTGGGATTCATCCCAGTGATACAAGGATAGTTCAACATACAGAAGTCAATAAATGTGATACACCACATCAACAAAATTAAAGACAAAAACATATGATCATCTCAATAGATGCAGAAAAAACATTTCACAAAATTCACCATCCCTTCATGATAAAGACTATTAGCAAATTAGGTGTAGAAGTATCTCAACACAATAAAAGCCATATACAACAAACACACCACCAATATCATCCTGAATGGGGAAAAGTTGAAAGTTTTCAACTTAAGAACAGGAATAAGACAAGGATGCTCACTCTCACCACTCCTGTTTAACATAGTATTAGAAGTACTAGCCAGAGAAATCAGGCAAGAGAAATAAATAAGGGGTATCCAGATTGGAAAAGATGACCTCAAACTGTCCCTGTTTGCAGATGACATGGTTCTATATATAGAGAAAAACCTAAAGACTCCTCCAAAACTCATAGAGCTGATAAACAATTTCAGTAAAATTGCAGGATACAAAATCAACACACAAAAATCAGTAGCATTTTAATACTCCAACAATGAACTAGCAGAAAAAGAAATCAAGAAAGCAAGCCTATTTACAGTAATCACCAAAAAAAAAAAAAATGAAATACTTAGGAATCAATTTAACCAAGGAGATAAAAGATTGCTACAATGAGAACTACAAATCATGGCTGAAAGAAATTAAAGAGGACAAAAAAAGATGGAAAGACATTCCATGCTCTTGGATTGGAAGAATTAACATTGTGAAAATGTCCATACTGCCCAACATGATCTACAGGTTCAGTGCAATCTTCATCAAAATACTAATGACATTCTTCACAGAAATAGAAAAAAAAATCCTAAAATTCATATAGAACAACAGAAGACCCCAAGTAGCCAAAGCAATACTGAGAGAAAAAAAAAACAAAAAACTGGAGGCATAACACTCCCTGATTTCAAACTATGCTGTAAAGCTACAGCAACCAAAACAGCATGGCACCAGCATAAAAACAGACACTCAGACCAATGGAACACAATAGAGAACCCAGAAATCAAACCCACATACTTACAGCCAACTGATCTTTGACAAAGGCACCAAGAATATACATTAGGGAAAACACTGCCTCTTCAATAAATGGTGCTTGGAAAACTGGACATGTAAATGTAGAAGAAATGAAACTAGATCTATACCTCTCACCATATACCAAAATCAACTCAAAATGGATTAAAAAGACTTAATTGTAAGACCTAAAACTATAAAACTCCTAAAAGAAAACATTGGGGAAACACTTCAAGAAGTAGAACTGGGCAAAGACTTTATGAATAAGATTCAAGAGGTGAATCTCTTTAAGACAGCATACAGTTGGGTGCAGCTTTTTAATACAATCAGTCAGTCTGTGTCTTTTGGGTGGAGAGTTTAATCCACTTAAATTCAGGGTTGTTATTGAGATATATTGTCTTACTCCTGACATTTAATTGCTTTTACTGGGGTAGATTTAAATATATTTTGTTCCTTTCTTCCCTTTTTATTGTTTGTCTTCAGTTTTTGTTGTTTGTTTGAGGTGGTGTGGTATAGTTTCTTTCTCTTTTTCATTTACACATCTGCTCTACCGATGGTGTTTGTTCTTTCTAGTATACTCATGGTGGTGATTATTATTTTTTGGGTTTCAGGTGCAGAACTCCCTTAAAGATTTCTTGTACAGCTGGTCGTGCGATAGTGAACTCCTGCAGCTTTTGTTTGTCTGGGAAATGCACTATGTCCCCTTCCTTTCTGAAGGATAGCCTTGCTGGTAAAGTATTCTTGGCTGGAAGTTTTTTTCTTTTAGTACCTTGGATGTATCATCCCATTCTCTTCTAGCATGTAGAGTTTCTGTTGAGAAGTCTACTGTTCATCTGATGAGGATTCCCTTATAGAGGACTTGGTGCTTTTCTCTTGCCATTTTTAGTATTCTCTGTTTGTCTTTGACTTTTGAAGTTTTGGCCACAGTGTTTCCTGGAGAGGACATTTTTGGATTGAATCTGTTTGGGGACCTTTGAGCCTCTTGGATCTGGAAGTCCATATTTCTACCAATACCTGAGAAGTTTTCTGCTATTATTTTATTGAATATGTTTTCAATGTCTTTTCCTTTCTCCTCCCGCTCTGGAACATCCATGATTTGAACATTTGTTCACTTAAGGTGGTCTGCGAGCTCTCTTAGATTTTCTTCATTTCTTAAATTCTTTTTGTTTGTTTGTTTGCTTGGTTTATTTCAAAAAGACTGTCTTCAAGATCAGAAGTTCTTTCTTCCACTATTTCTAGCCTGCTGCTTACACTCTCAATTGTACACTCTCAATTGTAGTTTTTATTTCATTGAATGAGTCTTTCAGTTCCAGGAGTTATGCTACATTCTCTTTTATGGAATTTGTCTCTTTGTAAATTTCCTCCTTCAAGTTCTGGATTTTTCTCTCATTTCGCTGTATTGTCTAACTGAGTCTTCTTGTATCTCACTGAATTTGTTTAAGATTATTACTCAAAATTCCATTTCAGAAATTCAACAGTTTTCTGCTCTATGGGGTCTGGTACTTGAGAATTATTATATTCCTTTGGTAGTGTCATATTTCCTTGTTTTTTCATACTTCTAATGTCACTATGCTGATTTTTACTCGTTGGTTGAGCAGCTGCTTCTTTTATTTCCATGGAGTAGATTTTGAGGAGAGAGATATCCTCCTGTAGATGTGTTTGTTAAATACTGACTGTTGAGTAGGGTGTTTTAGTATTGGTTCCGGGTAGACTCAGTAGTGTAGTGTCTGTGTGGGTACTTCTGCTGCATTCAGTGTTGAAGTTGTGTGTGAGGGCCTCCATAGTATAGGCACTGGGGTGCTTAGTGATTTCTTGCTCAGGTTAGTTGGGACATTGAGGATGTGGGCTAGCTCTCAAGGTCTTGGATGAAGTGCCTAGGTTCCTTGTCACTTTTCGGCTGTGGTGAGTAAACCTAGACAGACTTGTTGGCTCCTGGCTAGTGTCCTGTGACCATGATGGGTACACTGGGGTATACTGGATCTTCTCAGCTTGAATGGGTGACCCTTGGCAAGGTTTCTCTTTCCTTGTTCCTATAGGCCAAGGTTCCTCCTGGTCCCTTGCTTCTCTTGGCTGGGGAATTGGTTGGTGATGGCTGGGAATTTTCTTCTGCACACTTTAGCTATCCTGAGTTTCTGTACTCTCCAGGTTCTCTGCATGTGTCTCTCCCTGGGTGAAAGTAGTCACACTCACTGCACATAGGGTGTAATTCCCCCTGTGAATGGGGTCATTGTGGTGTGGGTCTGCACTGGCTTATCTCTTTTTGGTGGCTCCATTTGTGACTTTTCTTGTGTCAGTGAGGTGTGGCAGTAGTGGGTCCTGTCCACAGCCAGTCTGACTGGTGCAGCAGCAGTAGTAGTGATGTGCTTGGCTGCTGGCAGTGGGAGCTATAGGAGCAGTGATGCAGGCAGTAGCAGATGGAGTCCTAAACTCAGTTGGGCTGGCTACTGCTTCAAGGTCAGCTTGTGGTCCCACCTGCCACCAGTCTGGTTGATATGGTGGCATAGGTGGAAGTACTGCGCCCAGCTGATCTGGCTGGTGAGATGGCTATGGCATCAGCAGCCTCACTGCACGCAGTGTGGTGGGGAGTTCCACACATACCATGGCTGGCTGGTGAGGTGGCTTGCATGGGGGCTCCTGTGCATGGCTGGTTTGTTTGGTGCAAGGCATGGATGGCTGCTGGCTATGGTCACCACACTGCAAGCAGGTGCAGCAGGGGATCTGAGCACAGCTGTGGCAGTGGTCCTGTGCATAATTGGACTGACTGATGCAGCAGTGTGGGCTATGTGCAGTGTGGATCCTGTGTGCAGCTGGTCTGGTTGGCACTGCAGCACCAGTGTAGATGGCTACCAGCAGCAGCAACAGCTAGAGCCACACTACAGATGGCAGCAACTTGAGGTTGGGCAAAACTCACAGTTGGGAAGGCAGGCAATGGTCCTGGGTCTTGACAATGTCACCAACAAGTGCAGCATTGGTAGCAGGGCTTCTGTTTTGGTCTTCTTCTGTGGAAGAAATGCACCCTAGGTTTCTCTAGTTCACTATCTTCCCCCAATCCTCCTCTTAAAGTGTTTGAATTACCAAAGAGAAAAAGCTACCTTCTTTGATTTTTTTTTGATCCAGCAAATTTTCTAAGGTACATTTTTTATTTTGTCTATTTCTTTAAACCTCACTTTAATCAGTGTTGCATCAATTGTATAGATTCCTACTATAAAGAGAAAGCAAAGAGGTAAACTGCTATACGGATACTGAAATCCAATGTCTGGAAATATACTTTTTAAATGTTGCTGAGCTAAAAGAGCACTAAAGTAGAGTCAACATAGTGAGATGGTCTCTAATCAACTCCCAAATCTTGTTATGCCTTTGTAGATGATCCAAAATGATTAAATTGACTAGGACTTCCCAAGGTTAAGATGGCACTCAAAGCCACTGTTCTCCCATCCTCCTTTATGGAATCTGCAAGGAATTTGACCAATTTTTCCTTCATTCACTTAGCAGAAATCCTTCAAGTCCTTACTGGTGCCTGCACTTTCTTAGGTGTGGGAAGGAGACATGAAGAACGATACTACACTCCTTCCCTTCACATACTGCACCATCTACTTTTCAGACATGTAAACTGCTGTAATGTAATGTGGTCAACATGAAAGAAAGGAGGGCACAGTGGAGGAGATGATAAGAGATTCAACTAAACTCATCTGAGGGTGGACAGAGGCTCCTGGAGAGAGTGCTATGAACTGGGTCTTATAGTATAGGAGCTACCCATGAGGTGGGGAAAGGGAGGCCCCATCAATAGGAACCTATCAAGTCACACAGGCATGTGAGATGACTGGCGTAGTACTGAATTTTGGAGTACTGTGTTCAATCTAATTCAGTTTCTCTTAATTACCTAGGATTCATTTTAGTACTTGAAATGTAAATGAAGCTACAAATAGAAGGCAAATAGCAGAGCTGTGAGTAAAGCAGGGATGCAAACTTTGAAAACCAGACAGAGTCTGAATTTATCAGTATTCCTGGAAAAACTGATTGTTTGGGATATTTAAATGTAATTAATGATACTTCAGCCCATCCTTCTAAAAATACACAGATTATCAGGTGGCTATAAAACACTCTCTCTAAAGTATTTCAAGAGAATCGCAAACAAAGAAGGCACATATTTTACCTGAATATGTCATGCTGTCCTGACCAGAATCTCATTTTTCAAGGACGGGAATGTGTCTGCTTTTTCACATTTAGATATGCAAAAAGAAATGCAGAGACTACAACGGAGGGACAATAAAGTCATGTTGAACTTCTCACATAATTACTTTTGTTATGCTCAAAGCAATTACTTTTGCTTTCCATGGGAATAAAATATACTATCATTGAAGAAGGCAAAAAAAAAAAAAACCTTCAAATATATTCCTGGGGCTTACAACATAAGCTATATGCAAATAGCCTCACAAGTTCCAAGGGCCTATTTTCTCCCATTTGATGCTGCTGATACTTCATTTTTAATTTGTTGCGCCTTTTTAAAAAAAATCTTCTAGAAGCAGAAGCAGAATCTGCCTATTAGCTTCAGTATAAAATAACCGTGCTAATACTTAAGGTCCTGGGGAAAAATATTACTAGTGCACTTAATAAAAATTTTTTTTCTAAGAATGTAAAACATTGCTATAAAAATTAAAGCAAATTATACAACCAATAGTCTTTTGAAGGTTAATGTTTAGGTATAGGCCTTATAGGCTGACTTTGGCGCTTTGATAATTTAATATCAAAATATATGAAACTGAAAGACATCTTACTTCTGTATGCAAATATTATGTAATAGCAGGTAATGATCTTTTTGCCACTGCAGTTCTGCTCTTGCTATAGCTATAACTATTTAAACACCAAGAAAGTTTCACCCAGGTCCAAAAAAATCTACTCTTTAAAAATAGTAAATAATAATACATATACATAGTTTAATAATCGTTTAATTATAATAATACATGCACATAGTTTAAACATCCAAATGGCTTACAATTCTACTAAAACACAATAATCCCCTGTGGGGTTGTAAAGAAAATATATTTATGATTTGCACAGTTAAACTATCTGAATAAATTCTACAGAAACTTTGTACATGGGCAATTTTGAGAAGATAATTTATATCTAATTTAGATAGTGAGAGAATTCCAGAGAAATTATTCTCAGTGGTTGGGGGTGGGGGAACAGAGTTCTAAGACATAAGACAATGAAGCCACTTTGGGGTTGAAAAGCTGGACACAGTGGTCTTTTCTTCCCCTAGAAAGCTTTATATACATTCCAAAGGATTAAAGTAAAAACATCCTTCCCAAGGAGCATAGTACCCAAATTCCTTGTTCTGAGTTACTTAACTATAATGCAAACCAGTATGTATAAGATAACATCTAGATCTCATTGCTTCACTCCTATGACTCTGTGGATAAGATTGTCATTCAGAAATACCATACTGTGAATGGCCACAACTGTGAATTAAGGAAAGCCCTGTCAAAGCAAGAAATGGCTAGTGCTTCATCCAGCCAAAGAGGTCGAAGTGGTTCTGGAAACTTTGGTGGTGGTCGTAGAGGTGGTTTTGGTGGGAATGACAACTTCGGTCGTGGAGGAAACTTCAGTGGTCGTGGTGGCTTTGGTGGCAGCCGTGGTGGTGGTGGATATGGTGGCAGTGGGGATGGCTATAATGGATTTGGTAATGATGGTGGTTATGGAGGAGGCGGCCCTGGTTACTCTGGAGGAAGCAGAGGCTATGGAAGTGGTGGACAGGGTTATGGAAACCAGGGCAGTGGCTATGATGGGAGTGGCAGCTATGACAGCTATAACAACAGAGGAGGCGGAGGCAGCTTTGGCGGTGGTAGTGGGAGCAATTTTGGAGGTGGTGGAAGCTACAATGATTTTGGCAGTTACAACAATCAGTCTTCAAATTTTGGACCCATGAAGGGAGGAAATTTTGGAGGCAGAAGCTCTGGCCCTTATGGTGGTGGAGGCCAATACTTTGATGAATCACGAAACCAAGGTGGCTGTGGTGGTTCCAGCAGCAGCAGTAGCTATGGCAGTGGCAGGAGGTTCTAACTAACTTCCAGGAAACAAAGCTTAGCAGGAGAGGAGAGCCAGAGAAGTGACAGGGAAGCTACAGGTTACAACAGATTTGTGAACTCAGCCAAGCACAGTGGTGGCAGAGCCTAGCTGCTACAAAGAAGACATGTTTTAGACAATACTCGGGTGTATGGGCAAAAAAACTGAGGACTGTATTTGTGACTAATTGTATAACAGGTTATTTTAGTTTCTGTTCTGTGGAAAGTGTAAAGCATTCCAACAAAGGTTTTTAATGTAGACTTTTTTTTTTTTTTTTGCACCCATGCTGCTGATTGCTAAATGTAATAGTCTGATCATGATGCTGAATAAATGTGTCTTTTTTTTAAAAAAAAAAAAAAAAAAAAGCTTATCTGGAGTCTTCCTGAAGTCTCACATCTGTCAAGTGCCTATCCTCAATTGCTACCTGATAATAACGTCCTGACCTGCTGTACTTTTCAAATCCCATATAAGCACCATTCATTGGAAGCCTACAAAAAAGGAGGTGTCTGGAACATAGACTTCCCAGTTTTTCCTTTCTAGAGAAGACCTTAGAAGAAGGTGGGCCCGATGCCTACCAGGTTGATAAGAGACAATCCAGCCCACTGCTATTTCCTGATACATCAGTTTTAGCTGTGACCTGTTATGTTAATTCCCTTAAACTTCTTCTTCTTGCTCTCCTATCCAATTGTACTCGTTATAATTTTGATTAAGTCAACACTCAATGTTCAAACACTGTAAATTCATCTACTAAGACAGGTTGTATATTTATGACTATAAATTTATTTTATTTCATAAATTTTATTTTTTCCCCTGGAGATGATAACTGCAGTGTTTGTTTTGTTTTGTTTTTTCATTTGCTTAGTTTTGTTTCATTTTCTGATATCTATTGCTGACTATTTCCAAAGTTATAGTTAAAGCTCTTAACCAACTTTCGGTACTATTTGCTAGATGGTCAAATGAACCAAATAATCTATCAGTTCTATTCTTCCTCCTCTTCCCACTTCCCTGTCCATGACATTCCTTCTAGAGCTGACCTTCAATCTAAAATACTTGTTCTCTTGGTCTGCTGCAGAGATATTGATCTGGGACTGCTCCTTATTTTCTCTTGTTTGTGCTAAATCCCATTTCTTTCTAGGCTTCTTCTCTATCTTGGTTTGCTTTTCATTTTGATGAAATACATTCTCTAATAGCTTTTTGAGCAAAAGTGAAGAGATTAGATTTTTTTCATCTTTCTGGTGTTGTAACCTTGTCTTTCCTATCATCCACTTGTCTTTTGTACATCTAACAAATATACACAATTCCATTAGAATTCAGAAACTTTGTTGCCTGCTCCTCAGTTAATTTTTCTGCTGTTCAATTGTTAGTATTCAAAATTATTTTTGTTCATTTATTGTTCTGCTTTATATCATACTGTTCTTTTCTCATGGGTACATCTTTTTTTATTAATCATAGTTTTTTTTAAAAAAAATAACTTCTTCTGTTCCCTGAATTATAACTGTTTTCTTAAATGTCCTTCACCTACTTGTTATTTTGGTTTCTCTCATTTATCAAATATTTCATTATATATCTGGGGAAGTGGGTCTATCCATGTTTGAGAATGAAAAACTTATTATAAAGCAGATCAGTAGCTTTATCTACAGGCATGAGCAGAAATTGTCAATTAGCGGGCTTTATTGGAAGGTAACATTGTGGCAAGTGGAGTTTCTTTGTCGACCCTCAAATATCAGGAACTCATACATTTTCTCTGCAACCAGTTTTTGTGCATAATAACATTAATTTTTTTTCTTCATGTAAGGTTGAGAGAAAAAAAAATGATATCCAGCTGCATGTGTTCTAAGAACAGATAGAAATGAGGGCAGCAGCTTTTATCATTCTGTAGGCAAGTTTTCACTTAATTCGCTTATTTATTTCCAGACATCTAACTCTCCTTTGACTTCCATGACACCTACTTTTCCTGAGTTTGGGGTCTTACAGGTTTAATTTCCTCAGAAGCTAGAATTGTGGTCAGAGATTGGGAAGGGACGGTGAGGAGACAAAGGGAGAGGAAGTTGTATGGGTTGGGGTGGGGTTCAGGGTTTAGTGTCCTCTACATGGATGTCTACCATTCTCTAGTTTTCAGCCCTGCAACTTGCCATCCTTCCCGTTTCTTCCATGGTATGAATTTCACCACATCATGACCCTCTCCTTTATTCTACAGGGCAAGTGAATCCATTTCTCATTAGTTTCCCTTCAGATAGTCTCAGATGGTTAACAGTTGCAGCCTCCACTCTGCTCAACCAGAAGCAGAGGTCTTAGATTAGACTGTCGTTCAAACTAACAAGGCACGGTAAGCTTCACCAAGGACCAAGTTTACTTAGCTTTAAGAGAAAATAAAGGACAGGAATTGTGACATGTATGACAACAGCACAGCCAAGGTCTCATGACTCCTAAATGTGATCATAAGAGATGAGACTGAATGGGTATGGGCGAAGCTCTCAGCTGTGAGATCTCTACAGCTTTTCTGTCTTGCTAGTTATTCAGACACTTCCATTCTCTCTTTCATGCTACTGAAATTCATTATTTACAAGATGTTCATCAATTAGAGTTTGCCAATCAATTAGAGGATACCTAATTAACAATTTTCACAACTAGGTGCAGAGGCTTAGTTCAGTACATAGCAACCTCAAGAATGCTCTCATGTTTACTGGATCTGGTATACTCTTTTACATTCCTTCAATCTCTGTTACAAATTTAAGCATTTGCCATCAACTAAATTGTGTAATGCCAAAATTCTTATATTAAAGCCCAAACCCATAACGTGACTATATTTGGAGATTGGCTTTTAAGAGATAATTAATGTTAAATAAGGTCATAAGGGTGAGGCCCTAATCTGATAAAACTGGTGGTCTTATAAGAAGAAGAAAAGAGAGATCTCTCTCTCTCTTTCTCCACTCTGTGAGGACATGGCAAGAAGGTGGCCATCTGCAAGTCAGGATAGGAGCCCTCACTAGAAGCTAACCCTGCTGGACCTTGGTCTTGGACTTCAAGTCTCCAGCATGGTGGAAAATATATTTCTGTTATTTACACCAACCGGTCTATAGTATTTGGTATTTTCTTATGGCAATCTGAGAAGACAATTATAACATCGTATCCTCAGACATCCCATAAGCAAGACAAAAGATCCAGAACTTAAAATGTCTTAACTCTAAGAAATTGGATTAACTAAAAAAGAGGGCCAAAATAATGCAAAAAAAAGAGAAAAACATAATATAAAATATTAAAGATTTGGAAATGCTATAAAGAATATAAAAGATAAAATGTGTAGTTTTACCATTGCTAATCTTAATAATAGCATAAGACTGAAGCTATATAACATGCATCTTTAAATGTGCTGCTAAAGATTTTTCTTTCTATTCTTTTTGCTTACATTAAATAAGAAAAAAAATTGAATATTTTAAGGATGAAAAGTAAGAAAAGGGAGAAATTGAGAGCAACTGCAGAGAATAAATTATCATTTGTGAAAAGGTTCTTGGTGTCAATTGTGCAAATTGAATTTTACATCTATTATTTTACTTGATGAGGGAGGCAGACTGTCTAGAATTCAATCTCAAATCATTCCTGGGACAAGATACTAGTCCTGCTTTGTGTACGTGTCCTCACCGGTCAAATGAGGACAGTAGCAGGCCCTACCCACAGAGTTGTACTGAGATGAAATGAGTATAAATGTAAGGAAGTTTAAGAAGCCCATGCAAAGTAGTCAGTGTTACATAAACTTTGATATTATTTTGTTTTGTTTAACATTATTTAATCTTCACAAGCTTGTAATTAGTTATGGAGAATATAAAATAGAACTGTGTGGGTTTCTAACATATTGGCATTTAAATAAGATTTGACTCATGGGTATAACCAGAAGCAACTCATTGATAGTATTAGTTTTTCTGAATTAGAAATGCAATTGTGACACATTTTATCACATACAAGTATTTATTTATATATTTATATAAGTATATAATCATATATCACACACACACTCTACTTCAGGTCTCTGAAGTAGAGACCTGCTCACAATAAGCTATAAGAAATCAGAAATTCCATTTCAATAAAAAGCTACTGAAAAATGTTAGAATGAAAAATTTAGAATAAGTGCCTAAGTGAATTCAGTTATTACCATGTAAAATTTACCTTTATTCTTTGTGTAGTCACTGCTGCATACATATTTCCTAACTAAAATTTTTGTCAGCCATAACATAACTTCCTTTAGGTCTTTTCTACTGTGAAAGAGGCACTGCAGAGTACAGACTATTTTGAGCTCAGGTAAATTAGAGAATTCTTGTTTTTTGAAGCAGTATCCCAAAAGCCACTATTAAATTCAACAACCAGTGTACAAGAACATAAATTACTTAGATAGGTATGAAGAAGTATGGAAGCAATAACTTCAGAAATAAAACCACCATTACTTCCTGAAGAGGTTTAGTAAACAGAGAACATCTACATCTGCCCATCAGTTATTGATGACCATTTAATGCCAATTTTATGAGCAATAAACCAGAAACACAGGTTCATTTGATTCTTTTATTATACCTGTATTACCTCATATATCAAAACCCCAAAAGTATAATCTAATTTTTCCACTTTTATGAAAGTGTTGATGGAAAATAAAATGATAGGTTGGAGGCGGGTAGATTATTCTTTTACATTTACTCTTTGGTGTTTAAAGAATGTGTTCTTATTCAGATGGCTTGAGGATGTCCTCAGGCTTTGCTTTATCCCTCTTGAATATTCACATGATCCTGCTTTTACACTGTGTTCTGAAAAGAATATATCATATCTTTTTTTTATTCCAGAATAGCTATTACCTTACTTGTTTTATTTGTAATTAATTCTCTGAGTATTTCAGCTTCTACATATATTTCCCCTCTCCCAGGCTTCTCTTATGAAGACAAGTAGGATTGGCCAATATGAGATACAGCATTAAGCTAAATACAGGTTATGAGTCTATCTAATGACTTCTTTATAGCATAAGTTCTCATTCTTCTTGAAAAATTGCTCATTATCTATTTCATGTCAACCTAAGGTAACCATCAAAAAGAGGCTCTTTTTAAAAAGAAAAGAAAAAAAGATATTTATTTGGAGATAGGGCACTGCAAAAGGAATATATGTGCCATAGTAAACTATGTATGTATTCAGGGAGGTAACGGAAGACAAAGGTTTTTAAAGGAAAATAATGAAGAATCACAAAATTGTTTTGGGATAATTTTCCTTTACTACAAGGATCAATAACAAAGGTGGCACCAGTCTGAGGCTGGATTAGCAGTAGCCGGGCAGATGTTCTCACAGAAGCATTTTTTTGTGTAAGATCGCAATGGCCTTTGCACAAGGCTATGGT